TATTTTAATTTAATGGATATATGTGCTTCTTTCATCTTCCTAATATAAAACTATTTAATCCAAATTTGATATTTTTCATACTATGTAGACAATCAGATATTAATCATAGTATTTTGAATTATATCTGACACAAGAGAATGCATTAAAGACGTTTTATAACTTTCTACGTATTTAATTGTAATATCCAATATCTAGCAAGAAGATATTACAATGATAAAAAACATTTAAGCACATCTTTGTACCTAAGAATTGCAGTGTTACTAAGAACTATATCCTAAACAAATCTTACTTGCTTTGCAAATTGTTTTTATTTAAGTATTTTTTTCAATTTTACTTTGTTTGGATGAAGTCTTCTAATGTATTTCTGAAAAATATTTCAGTCCACATTTTGTTTCTGAAATTATCCTACATATTGATTATGTTGTTAGTGATTTTTATGACATAAATTCACAGCAGTTATAGTGTCCACCTGTTGTTTGAATACAATAGTGTTTTATTGTTACTGTCATTGTTTCTTATTTTGCTGGTAGTATATGTATTTGAGAATTTTCTCACAGTATATCCAAAGAAATTGGTGGTTATGTGGCATTGCTAATGTCTATTGGAAGTTGCTGAATATAGAACTGTAAAGTTACTACAAAGTGTGTTTTTAATTTGAAGACATTCCCATTGATCTATACACACACTTAACCATGGAAAAATTTTCCTAAACTTTATAGTACCATGTCAATGTGGTTTATATTAAAAGATAAGTTGATTAACCCCACGTTTCTCTAAATGACAATAATATTGAAAATATTTCATGCATTTATTTGGCATTCTTATTACTTCTCCTGATAAATATTTCTCATTGATTATTTGTCCTCCTGTATAGTTTGCTGTCCTCACTGAATTTTTACTGTATACCACAAATATGATTTCTGGATCAGTCATACAAATATCTTCCCCCAGATCAGTCATGGAAATATCTTCTCCTGATTTGTGACTTTTTTTCTCTTATTTTGTAGTATATTTAGAGGAATTGAAAAAAGTCATATTTTAATGCAATCAAATTTTTTCATGATTGGTGCACTTTGTGTTTTGAGATCCTTTATTACTTAAATTCACATGTGAAAGTTATCATTTTCTTAAAATACTGTATGCATATTTTTCTTATATATCAAAGTAGTTTAAAATGTTTTGTGTCATCTTTATCATTTGTATAACAAGTTGTACTAAAACCATTTATTGATAAACTCTTTAACCCCAATTGATCTGCAGTGCTATCAAAATTATAAACTGATTTTCTCTATATTGTGGGTCTGAGTTTTGTTTCCTCTTTGCCCTGTGTCATTATACAGTGTATTATGCTCTAATACAATGTAATAACTACACAAATCATAGAGTAATTTTCCTTTATTGCTTTTATCCTGCAAGTCTGAATAAGCTCAGTGCTTATAAACCTTGATAACACCTTTCAATTTCTATGAACAACTCTCTCTAAATTCATATTAATTTTATTGAATATAAAAATGCATTTGAAGAGGTCAGGGTTATTTATGATATTGTATCATAACCACATCATAGAGCTCTTGATTTCATTAGATTTTCTTTAATGAAGTTCAAAACAGTGATCTGTATATATGTCTTTCATATTATTAGATTAATTCTTAGAGTTCTTTACTTTCTACTTATTAACTGTTAGTTTTGTACTGAATGATGTATGTGATTTGTTGTTTAATATTTTTAGAATATATGGATATTATATTTTATTTTTTGTTTTTCTTATCTTTGTTGAGTAGTTGTGTATATAATTTTATGATTTTAATCTAGTAGATTTTGGATAAATTTCTTGAATTAAAAAAAAATTTCTTGGGCTGGGGATTTAGCTCAGTGGTTCCGGCACCTCCCTGGCAAGTGCAAGGTCCCGAGTTCGATCCCCAGTACCAAAAAATAAAAAATAAAAGTTTCTCCTCTTCCACCCCTAGTTCCCACCTTTTAATTTTTCTTCTTTCTCTCATTGCTGAATATGCAAGTAATTCTTCAAATTTATTCTTCCAAAATATTTATTTAGTACATAAGTGAACTGAGCTTACTCTTATTTTTGCTTTTCCACTGACATCTAATTTCTCTCAGTGGGATTTTATGTAAATTGCATCAGGCTTTAACAAGTTACAGAACATAAGGTGTGAAACATCTCCTCCTTTATCTGTTTTCTATAAGAAAATGTGCATAAGACTGAAATTAGTTGTCTCCTTAACTTTAGGTAAAACCACTTAGTACTTGGAAAATTTATTTTCCAAAGCATTTTATGGTACTATTTAAGTATTCAATTTCTTTTGGATACATCTATGGGATTTTATCTTACCATTACAATCTTCTGAATAAATATTTATACCTCCTTTTCCCCAATAAGTTTTGTTTTACTGTCTCATGTTGTGAGTTCATAAACTTCTCTATATTTTATATCTTTAATCTAGCCTTACTTCTTAATGTGTGAATTTGTTATAATTTAAATGCTGGCTTTTTAAAAGAAACTGGAAAATGCATCAGTGATTAAAAAAAATACAAATAGAACTACAGTGAGGGAAAGACTTAGTGAAAGAAAGATATATTTCCTGTTATGAATTTTGAATCTTTAGCTTTGAATAGAAAAATAAACCAAATACTTTCCTTTTTCTTACATCATTTAATAGATAAACTTACTACTATGTGAGAAGTTTAAGATATTTTAAGAGACTGAATGTAATGTTTTTGAGTCTAACAGAATTATACGTAAATTCAATGTTAAATTCTTACTCGAATTATTCATCTTTTCCCCAACTATGACTTAACATCACACACTGCACACATTCCCTTACAAGAAAAAAAATGATAATTTGTGGAGAGTGCATTACTTTTTGGGTTCTGAGTTTATTTAGATCTGAGATATTGAATTTTTTAAAGATTATGTGATTTTTTGAATAACTGCTGTGCTGTTCTTAGATTAATGATGAAATCAATTGTTCATCCTTTCAACTCTGACAACATACAATGAGTTCTGATGCCTTTCACCCTCTCCAGTTCCTGAGTAGGATGTAATCTGCCTGATATGAAAAATAATCATTTTAATATTCATGTCAGGCTTGGGGGTTCATTTTTCTTTTTTCCATAAATTAATGAGTTATAACAAAAAAATGCCTTCATAAAGTTGTCTTTTGCCAAAAGTCCTGCTACAGCATATGGAGTTAGTGAAAAGCTACAGTATTAAGGAAATCGGTTTTAATCCAGGCCTGTAAGTGTGCATGGAAATACTAAATACATCCCTATGTGTTTTTGCAGACAATCCTGGTTTGCTGAGCCATGTCACAGTGGGTATTAGAGTTCTGGATGTCAATGACAATCCACCCGAACTTGCCAGGGAATATGATATTGTTGTCTGTGAAAATTCTAAGCCTGGCCAGGTAAGTTAATTGTTTCCTTCCAATCTTTGAATGGAAGGAACATAAGCAGATTTATTTCTATTATACTGAGGTATAATCCCCCAAATCCTCCAGTGTAATGTTTGTACTCAGTGAAGATAATTTTAGAAAGCTTTACTTTAAGGAACAAATAGATTTTTTCAGAATCACAGAATGTAAATTTTCTCTATATCCCACATGTAATTCAGAACAATGGACTTATTTATGCATGATACATTCATCATGCCAATAAAATTATATCAGTGTTTTAGGTACAGGTCTGAATTAAGTGAGAGGAAACTGAACTTTTTTTGTCCTAAAGAAGCCTAGAGATTCTACCAGGAAGAGGACCTAGTAGTATACTTTGGGATATCTAAAGGACTGCCACATCAATAATGATTGAGTGACATTGCTACTAAAAAAAGAACTTTAGTGTTAACAAGGGAAAGTGTACATATTAATGGGATGTGGAAGTGAAGTGTAAAGAGAAAGCTTGAGCTCAGGATATGAGGCTCAATGTGCCATAATATCCACTTGAAAAAGCATGGAAGTTCTGAAGGAAGTCTGGTTTGGTTGCCACACACTCAACAAGTAAGCCCAAAAGGAAATGTGAATTAATCTTTGCTGTATGGTAACATGCACAAAATTACTCAAATTACAACAAAACATTTATTACCACACATTTTCTATAGTCAGACACCTAAGCACATGCATGGCTTACCTGGGTCTTTGTAGAGTCTCACAAGACTGTGATCAGCTGTCCTGGCTCCCTTCTCTCTCAAGGCCTGGGAATCTGTTTCAAGTTCACATGATTGTCCTCAGCACTCAGTTGCTTTCAGCTATGTGTCTGAGATTTTCATGATTGTTTTTAACCACTCAAGGCTGCCCACTGTTCTCAGACACCCGCCGTGGTTTCTTGCTATAAGGGCTCTTGCAATATTTCCATCTTCTTCACCAAATAAAGGGAGACTCGCTAGTGAGTATGTTGGCAAAATGGCCTCCTGCAATGTAATCTAGTGGGTCAATCCATGATTTTATTTGCATACACTGCTTCATTGCTCTGAGAAACAGTGCAATTTATACCAAACTCTAAGCAGAAGGGGTTACAGGAAGAACTGCGACCTAGGAGGTTGTCTTAAAATGTGTTCACTACCTATAGATGGTCTAAAATGTCCATCTGAGTTAGAAAGACTTTCTTACAGTCTGGGAAATCACAACGAGTATAACATCCAAAAGTACTCTAATCATTTTGAAACTTGTGAGGAAATTATGCTCTCATGAAACTACTTTGTATAATTATATATGATGGAGAATCAACAATAATATATTGAGATAATTTCATGTGTGTAAGTGTGTGTGTTTTAATCCCATCAGGGGATATATTTTCTTCTATATAGATATTTTTCTCATAAGAAGTTCTTGAGTCAGGTGGCACTCAGAACCACAAGAGGTTCAGAGAACTCTTCTGAGCTGTGTGAGCAGCAGGAGTTCATAAATCACACACAGACAAAACAGAAATCTGCTGACTGGCTAGTTAGGCATTCGCCTTACTTGGGTATGATCTGGTTAGTTTTCTGTGTAATATTATCTGAAGCTCAAGTATTTGTGATAGCTTGAAATATAGCTAGTTGTACACTATAAAATATGAATAAAGAGAAAAATGTTAAAAATTTAGATTTATGAAAATATAGTAATTGAAAACGATATGTGCAATCTTGATAATAATAGCTGATTGACATAAGCTAAGAGAGAATAAATGATGATGAAAACAGATCAGATTTAAAATCCATGCTGCAACATGAAAATAAAAGAAGAATGCAAAAATAGCATCATATACATATACAGCATATAGTTTAATATTTATTATTGAAATCCCAAAAGCATATGAGAAAAAGAATATAAAAGAAATAGACAAATCTATTATTGAATTATTATTGAGTTTTACATGCTTGTCTCAGTAATTGTTAGAATACTCACATGGAATTTTAGTAAGGCTATTGGAAAATTGAACACCATAATTATAAAATTTTACTGATTGAAAAATACACCAAGTTTATATATTTTTTTAAATTTGCACAAAATGTTGACAAAAATTTGCTATGTGTTGGCCCACAATGCAAGTTCTAAACATTTGGAAAGAATAAGCCTTATTATGTTTTATTGTAATAAAATATAGTCACATAATTCAAAAATTACTCCAAGAGAAAAGAATCTTTTGTAAATGAATGAATACACCTGCCTCAATGAAGACATTGAAACGAAAATTAATTAAAAAATTGTGCACAGGATGATAATGCAAATACAGAATATCAAATCCCAATTAAAATAAACCAATCAAAAAAGTGGCTAGTGAAATAAATAAACACTTCTCCAAAATACAAATGATCAATGGATGCATGAAAAAAATTTTCAGCATCTCTGGGCAATAGGGAAAAGCAAATTGAAAAAATACTGAAATTCCACCTTTTTCTAGAAATTATGGCTACTCTCAAAAAATCCTATAATAAGAAATCCTGGTAAGGCTTTGGGCAGAAAAGTACCCTTTAGAGTGTTGATGGGAATGTAATCTAATACAACGATAATGCAAGTCAATATTGAGACTCCTCAAATAACTAAAAGTAGAAATTCCATTTGACTCAGCCATCCCCCTACTAGGTATCTTCCCAAAAGAGACAAAGACACCATATTACAGTGATATATACATACCCATGTTTATAGTGACACATTTCATAATAGCTAAGTCTTGGAAGAGGCCTATATGTCCATCAACAGATAAACGGATAAAGAATATGTGGTATCTATAGACAATGGAATATAACCCTGCCATTAAGAAGGATACCTGAGTTATTTGTAGGAAGATTGATTCATCTTGAAACCATAATATTAAGTGAAATAAGTAAGACACACAAGCTAAAATACCACATGGTTCCTCTTAGTGAGAAAAACAAACTATAAATCTATAAATGAAGAGCATAATGAAAGACGGGTAATAAGAAATAGGTAGATAGATCTTTTGTAAGTGGTAAGGGGGTTAATACATGAAAGGAGGGGATAGGAAAGGGATGAAGAAAATATATATATTATGTATTACAATTAAAAATCAGTTAATCAAAAAAAAATCAGTTAATCAATCAGTTAAAAAGCTTCCAAAAAACCCATAAACCTTTATTAAAGAAAGTGTTCTTATTGTGAATGCATAAAACAGGGAGAATAAACCACATTTAAAGCACAAGCACTCATTTAAAAAAACTTTGAAAAAGCACAGTTTAATACAAATGAAATAGAAGAAAAGAACAACTTATGAGTAGAAATCAGTGAAACATAAATGAGCCAAAAGAAAATATTTAAAAACCCAGAATCAGTTATTTGAAAAGACAATGAAATTCTTGATAAGAAATGAGAGTAGATAAAAATAGTGAGAAAATAAAAGGAAAATAGACACACACAGACTTCAATAGCTGCTAGAACATTAAAATACACATAATAATAACTGAATTTTAGTTAGATTTTAAAAGTAAAATTTATCAAAGCTGTAACAAAGTCAAAGAATGATTAGTCCTTTACTTATTAAATGTATAAAATATATAAAGGAAATTCATCCCACATGTACATCCTCATCTCCAAGTGAATTTCAATAAATATATGGAAAATAAAATTGAAAAGTTTTCAAGCTGTTCAGAAAAGAGGCCATTTATTTTTCTACTCAGGTATAATGAAAACAATTTTATTATCAAAATTTTGTAAATAAACTAATTTCTACCTGTGACTAGGGATGCATATATCACAAGTAAAACATTTACAAACCAAATAAAGCCAAAAAACCCCATTAAAATGAAAAAAATCAATTTTTTTCTTAATTGGGAAGTCCAAAGAATTTGAGAAAGTTCATCATCCATTATTAATAACAATAGCATCAATAACATCAGTGAGAATGCTACTGTATACTGGCGTGAATTTGGAATGAAATTAACATTTTCTGAGTACATTGTCTGTATAAAGATATATTTCTTCATTCTGACAATAGAACAATGAACTTTAAACAACATACCACCTAATAGTACGTTAGAAAATAAGACCATCAGGAATAAATCTTGCCCTTGTAAAGATGTAATTATGCTTATAAATAGAAACCTTTAAAGTTTAGGCTCTTTCCTTCAATTAATCTTTTTCTTTTGACAACTTGGTGTTGTAAACATTGATAAATTCAAAATATGAGATATAAAGTATCAATTAAAAGCTAATATTTGCCTCATAAATTTGTCAGCATTATCTGAATGACAACAGACTTTAAAAAAACATTTGTAAATAAACACATTCGATTTTAAATTCTAAGGTCATTTCCATGTTTGAGGATGAACCGTGTTCTGGTACCATGGTGTAGTCCATACTTGCTGGTCTATTCCTGAGCAAATCAGACCTAGTTCTTGTCAGTTTATACTTTTTATCAGTGCACTTGAAAAGGTGTTTACAAATGTGAAATGGTTGTTCACTTTTCAGGCCTGTGACTTTACCATTTTATTGATGTGTCATATTGTCCAGGTCTTGTGACTGTGACAGATTGCTTAGTTATTATCAGAGGACACGCTTGCCCTCAAAATGTTGTTGCTGGCCTAGATCTCCTGCTATGCTGTCTGCATTGACAGCTTAAGCTGGGTAACATTTCTAAATGGTGACTTTATGTGACATTGACAAGTACTTTCTTCCCCTCTAAAATGAAGACCATTGTTGGAATTTGAGGACATTTTCTAAGCCTAAATTTTATGGGCTTATGATTAGGTTAACCTGAAATTCCTTTGTTAATTTATTATCTATGCCTTAAATGCTATTATATTTTTGCAACATCTGTATCTGTGAGAACCTGCTTATTTTTTGATTAGATCTCATTTATCATTTATATGGAATAACATTTTCAGGAACTATTGTTAAACTTCCTTTTAAAAGTCTGTATCTCTTTTATAGATGTGCTAATAATTTTCAGAAATTTATCTCAAGAATTAGCACCTCTAAGAAGTAATTTATTAATATATTTTACATCGTTGGTTGTTGCATTTATTCTTTTTAAGCTATTTTATTCATGTTTTTGTCTTTCATGTTGTATGATTTTATGACTACTGTAAGACAATTAGATCATTATGCTACCTTATAGCATTTGCTTCAAACTCTACATTTTTTTTTAACTATAAGGAGGACACAACAATCATCTTTAAGGATTCCTTGTGGGGTCTATATTTATACAAATTATTACAAATGTATGTAGGCTTGGTTACAACAATTACAGAGTGAAATAACCTGATTCTTTCTGTTTAACTTCACAGTCTTTGGTTCTTTTGAGGTATGTTGATAGCATTTGGGGGGAAGTTTATATGTTTGGACTTAGAATAGGAATTAGAATAGGAGACATTATTTAGACAATGATTTCTGAAATAAATTCTCCGAAATGCATTTACAGTGCCCAGGTATAAAACAGTTCTCCTTCTATGACAATTGTTTTCTTGGTTTGCAGATATTTCTACTATAGATGCTGTGCATATGTGTGCGTGTGTGTCCGCGCATGTGTGTGCATGTGTGTGTGTTGCTATGCACCAAGATTAGTCTTGTGAAAATTTAAACCACATCTAACAGCAGACTTCAGATCAATCCAACTAGCCAAGAAAACTACAACAGTATAGTTCTCTGAGCAAATGCATTTCCTTGTTTTAAAAAGGTATCTTTTAAGGACTTTCCTAAAAAATTAAAAAGAAAGTCATACATGCATGAAATTTGAAGTAAGTACCTAAGTAGAATGAATTCAAAAGATTTTATATATGGCTAAGCCAGAAAATTTCAGTAATAGAGTGTTTTTATGTTCATATAGTTCTCTGTTCTGTTGATTTTCCACTTGAAATGAACTCAGAAAACATTATAGTAAAAAATTTAGTATAAAACACCAACCTCTGACCCATCACATACAATTTTATTAAGTATGTAACTTTGTATCAGAGAAGTTAATATGGTCAATACAGGTTACATAACCTGGAAAAGCCTGAACTATTTTAAATAACAAAATTTGATATAATTGTAAATTAAATTTATGTTAATCTTATTGATTATATTATGAATGAAACTGATTAATTTAAACAAGATATCGTATCTTCCTTAGAAATTTCTTTTTAATTAAAATTCTAAAGTTACCTCATTTACCAAAGAGAATACCATAATACTTATTTAAATTCATGACACTAATATTTTATTTCCTAATAAAATACTATAGGCCCAGGGATTTAGCTCAGTGGTGCCACCTCCTAACTCACAAGTGCAAGGTCCTGAGTTCAACCCCTAGTACAAAAAAACAAACAAACAAAAAATAAAATTATCAGACCCCCTAATAAAATACTATAAAAGTAAAACACCACGGAAAATATAATTTAAAAATCAAATATGTTTATTTCACTAGGCCATCAAATATCCCTGGTGATTATTTATAAATATCAACTATCAATTTGAGTCCCACCTTTCCTTTTTGAAAAGTAGCCTAAATTTGTGAATCTCTGCATGTTTCCAAAAAAGGTAAATTTTAAGATTTAATTAGATCATGGATATATGATAGAGAGCATGTAGTACAATGGAAGAAATGAGAAACTAAAAGAAAAACTGTTATAAATTTTATCCTAGCAAGCAATTGAAAAATGAGGAAACAGGACAGTACATGTAAATGAAAACTCTGAAAATGAAGTAGAAAATGTTAATGATGGAGAACTTAAAATTATCTATATATCTGCCAGAAATTTAAATTAAAAATATTAAACATATTAACTTTCCATTTATACTTTTAAATAAAATTAGAAGAAACAATGAATGAAAATCCTATTTTCTAATGAAAGGAGAAATGTAATTTGTAAAACAGAAAATTTGAGTATGTCGTCTAAGAACAAGAGAATATCTTAAAATTCAGGACAAAAGTAGACCAGCATTCTAGCTCTTTGGAAACATTTTTTTGATATATCAAAAATAAAACTTTAACACTTTGAATGACCATTGATTTTAAGAGTTACAATGAATTTAACCAAAATATATTAATTGATATTGCACGTCAGAGATAAAGTTTTCTCACTAAGAAAAAGGAATTTGTCATGTTATTTCCCTATTAAGATTGTATTTGAAATAATCTTTATAAAAATGGAAAACATTCTTCAGTACAAAGTACAGAAAACCAATAATCACAACACAACATGAATTACAACAGAATTTTCCAAATACAAGGTCACATTATAAACATTACAAAAGCATTAGAGTTACTTAAAAACTAACTTTGAAATAAATTGAAAAAATGATAATTCCACCAAAGTGAAAATTGGAAACATAAAATAGATCAGTGAAACTAAATGACTTGATCTCTAGCAGTCTTTGCAAAATTGTGTTCTGGGATAGGAAGTGAGCTTGCACTGCACACTGGAAAATCACAATGAATGAAGAATATAGGTAAAATTTGTTTATGTTTGGAAGAAGGCAAGGCAAAAATGGGAGGTAAATGTATCACTCTGTGTATGTATGCAAAACTGTATGAATGTGTGTATGTGTAACTTTGTGTGAGTTTATGTGTGTGTGTATGTGGTTGCAGGGGATGAGGTAGTGATGCATTCCTTAAATACTTATATTTATTTAACACCAAAAACAAATTTGAAAATTTGTCCTTGTTTTTATTTCTGTTGTTTTTCAAGCAACAGATATGCATAGAACATAAATTTCTCAGCTGAGGAAGCACTTTGAACTCTATTTGAAGTTTTTCATGCACGTGAAAAAAATGGTCAGATTACTTTGAAATGTCTGACAGTGCCTTGTCCTACTCAGAGTAAAAAGACAAAAAAAGAGAAGAAAGATCTACCCTGAGACACATTATACTTCTCTCTCATGGAAAAATATGAAAACAAACAATAGGAAATATGAAAATTTTACCTCAAAAATAGATATTAGAGAATGAAATAAGGTAGAAAGGCATGATAGGAACATCTCTGGAAATTTGGGGTTGGTGGATACATAAAATCTCTTGCTGACAAAATAAATTTTGATCAGTGAAGGCAAGATGTTTACGAGTTAGCCCTATGAATTTTCAGAGGAAGTTGGCCACTTTCAATTGTGAAATGCTTTCTTCTCCAACACTTCATGAAAACATTTATTTATCTGTTTGTGCTTGTTTAATTTTTTGATTTTTTCTCACTGCCCCTGACCATTCCTTCTCAATATACTTGTATTTCTTCTCCCTTCCCCCACTAAATATTGGTCTCAGTATGCAGAAAGAGGAATTTAGGTTTTAACTGCAATACTCTTAATTGAATTGTTCTCATTGTAAAAATTTAAATGAAGTAAAATTTCTTAAAATTTTCTTAATTATATACCACTTTTTCAATGAACATACTATATTTCAGAAAAACCTAAAATACTATTTTATGACTTTCTTTTCTTTTTCTTTATTCTTAGTTTTTCAAAGGGAAGACTGCAAAGAGACCACTTAAATATTTAGGATAGTAATTATTAAGAGGAAAATATAATTTTGTTTATTTGTTTGGATCTTTTTAAGGGTATAGTGGCCATATCTATTAGAATTTGTCTTCCCTCTGGTTAAAAATGTTATTAGAGAAGTTATGGTAAATAGTATGGATATTCCCCAAAAACTAAAAATAGAACTACCATATGATCAATCAATTCCACTACTGAGTATACGCTAAAAGGAGAAGAAGTCTATATATCAAAAAGATGCATCACCTCTATGCTTATTGCAGCATTATTTACAATAGTCAAAATATGGGATCAACTTAGAGGCCTTTCAAAGGATAACTGAAGGAAGACAATTTGGTGTATTTACACAGTGTAGCACCATCTGGCTATGACAAAGAAATGTTTTCCCTTGCAGCAACATAGATGGAACTGGAGAATGTTACGTGGAATGAAATAAACCAGAAACAGAAAGACAAGTAGCGCATGTCCTTATTAAATTATTGAAGAAATAAATCAATCTTGAGGAACTATGGGAGAAATAATGACTACTAGAGATGGAGAAGAGTAGGAGGAGACAAGACATAAATGAAGCTGGCTTTCTATGTAGTAAGAAGAGTGTTAGAGGGGCAGGAGCAGAATCCAGGGAGTAAGAAGATTAGGAAGAAGTGATCAGGTATGCTTGAATATGATAATCACAGTGAAGTGAAATTAATACTGGTTGGTAATTACAACAGTGATTTATAACTTAACTCATAGGAAAATAAAGAATTTGTGTTCTATTGCCACCAAATATACTTAGCCTAAATTATTTTACTACATACATATTTTAGAATTGCTTTCTCTTCACCACTAGAGATTATTCAGTATGTTCTGGCTTTGGCTCTGCCACTCTGTCAGAGATTTCAGGCAGATCACAATCTTTGTAGGAGTCAGGTTCCTTGCCAATAAAATTTGGATCATAATCTCAAAGGCCTCTGGGAACACTGAACAAAATTGTAAGCTCCGCTGTTTTTATATTTACTGACAGAAAACAAGTTATACTGCAAAGCTCTTCTGCATCAACACTGGGATATTTGTATTTGTGCGAACAATAGTTAATGTTCTCCCCAAACTGATAATTGTACAAAATCTTGCGACTAACTGGTCCCAACCTTCTGTGAGTGATATTTTTTTTAAATTTTGTCATCAAGAGAATGTGAAATGTAAGCACTTACAAGTTGTACCATGTTTTCCCTAAAATCAGATGGAGAACAAGTTTCCAGGTACTTCAATGAGTTCAGCTTTAAATATTTGAGTTGGAAAATGAATTTTTAAAAATTCTTTTATTTTGATAATTAAGATGATATGTTATAATTAAAATAAAAGGAATAAGTCAAGTTAAATTCACTATTTAGTATGTCTTTTCTTTAGGTTATTCATACCATCACTGCCACTGATAAAGATGATTTTGCCAATGGACCAAGGTTTAACTTCTTTCTTGATGAACGCCTTCCAATGAACCCAAACTTCACCCTTAAGGACAATGAAGGTGAACATGAATATATATATATATATTTTTTTCGATTTATGTGTTTTCTGCTATGACTTGACAATGAATAAGCTGGTTAGTTTAGCTTTTTTCTTATAACCTACAAACAGCTTGCAAATCAGCATTCAAGTCAGTTTGATGTTAATGTGTTATGATCTGTGAAGAGCTTGTATTTAAAATGGAGCCATATGCACAAATAATATTCATTGAATTTATTCACAAGCACTCCTTTAAATGAGAAATGTACATGTAATATGCTTTTGGCAAATTTCAAGAGAAATCTTAGCTGACAAACATGTTTATAAGAGCTGCTGCAAATGGTAGAAGGTAAAAAAATATTTAAATAAGGAAAAAATGAAAAATATATCCTAGAGACAGTTATGAACGGAAATGCAATGTTTGAAATCATCTTGTATTAGCAAAGCTATCAAGATATGCTGTACAAATTATATTTCCTGTTGTTATAGTGAACATTTCCCAAAGTATTGTAGAAACTTATGCACAATTACAGAGTAATATGGGAGTTTTTAAAACTCTTTTGGTTTAACTATATATATATTTCAGAGGGGAAATAACAACCCCAAAACTTAGTAACAATGGAATGTTCAACATTATTTAGATGCTATGTTTGACAGGCCCCTCAAGGTTTAGAAGTCATTTTTTTATCCTAAAGGAAAGTAGAAAACAAATATATGCAATTTTCTAATTAGCATCAGCTTTCTCCTCCAAACTTTCAGCTTATTTATCTGAATATGTTATTATGTGAGATTTAACACTTGCTTCTGATTATTATGTGGGAAACTAAGGCACATATATTTTGGCATAGTCATTTAATTATGATTCTATACAAATACTAAAAAGTACTTTTCCCATTTTCCCTAGGTACCCTTAAATGACCACAACAAGGATACTAAAGGTGTATGCAGGCAGACTTGGTCATTATGAACATTCAAAACTTAGTTGTCACTCCCATTTTAAGTAGCACTACTGTCTGCTCTGCTTAGTAGAATGTGTAGTCATACATGTGCTTATAAATGACAAATTCCATTCAAATGACTTCCACATTTACTTACCTTTGAACATTCCATCTTAAAATACAAATATGGAGTCTCTCAAAAGATGTATATATTAGGAAAATAAAAATGTGTATATTTGTATAAGTTTATTGAGACATCATGAGATTAGGACAAGTTACCTTTGTCCTCTACAATTACAAGAGATGCTCATAGTGTTGACCATTACCTTCCAGACATGTACTGGATGGCGAGCTGATGGTGTGAACACATTTTTTGGTGTACATTGTATATTAAGTATAAATCTATATATGAAACATTAAACAAAAATTAGCTTGGCAAGGTGGTGCACACCTGTAATCATAGCACTCTGATGGTAGAAGCGTGAAGATCACAAGTCCAAGGACCACCAGGTTTACTGAGCTCCATGCCAGCTGAGCTACATGGTGAGGAGCTTTCTCAAACAAAGGAACTCAAACAAAAAATCAGTTCCCCTTTTTTCTACATTTCAAACAGTATTCTGATTTGGAGTAGCATTTAACCTTCTTAGTAGGATGAAATTATGTGAAGTTATATTTCACTTGTATTGCCTTTTATTCTAACAAAGTTTTTACTTTACATTTAAAATTTTTTAATTTGATGACATTGCAGTGAAAATTTAAATTCATACTTAAATTTGTATTAAGTTTAAGCTATTTAAACTGCATAGTTATGACTCTGAAAATACTTTAAGAAAACAGGGTATAATTGTATTGCTGTTGAAAGCCACATTACTATCAAAGTCCTTTCCATAACATTATTGAATATAGAATTTATGAACTCAGTTAATAATTTTATTAAATATAACTTAATTCAATGATATGATCAAATATCACTGTTGGAATTTACATTTAAACTGTTCCCCTCAAAATACATAGGCACTTTAAAAGGATATATGTGTACATTTTCAGCATTTAAATTTTTCAAACAATGAAGTTTTAAATCAGCTGAAGCTTTTCAAATGTGAGAAGCCAATGGAGAGTTATACAGTGTTAAACATGTTTAAGTATGTTTCTAGCCATATTTTGCAAATTTTTAGAGCTGAAGAAATTATGAATAACAAACCTATCTCGAGTAGAAAAAACAGCAAATCTTAAAAAGTGGATGTAGCGCACAGCTGAAAATGTGTTTGAGCATAAATCATGGTTGTGCTGTAAAAGACGCTTTAACTTCCTGAGCCTCAATTTTTACATCCATTAATCATAATTAGAAATTCCAACTGGATAGCCTTTGAAGAATGACTGATATATGAAAGTATTAGACTCAGATGGGCTGTGGCCCACAGACAAGGCAACTATGGATAATAATTATGAGGTGAAATTAAAAATCCAGGACTACTGGACTCAGGATGCTTGGATATTGTATTTTATGAGTTAGTATGTATTTACATGCCCCCAAAACATGCAGAAAGAAATTTAGAAGAAAAAATTAAAACCATTATTTTTCTGAGGCCACTGTTTGCATAGAAGTGCATATTCATGGACACAGAGGGCAGAGGATACAGCCTCTAAGATGAAACACATCATAAGAAAGCCATGACCTCAATGGACTATTCCAAAGTGCTCTATGGCAAAGAATGAGCATAGAGATTTCTCAAAAAACAAGTGGAAAATAAAGCACACTGTTGTGTATGATAAGTCTAAAGATAAAAAATTTAAAGGTTTGTGAATGAATGAATTTCATAAAATAAGTTCACTCAGTAATAAAAATATATAAATGAAGAGAAAAATTCTCTAACATAAATATTTTATGTTCTTAATATTAAAAAAAACTTTTAACATCTTTTCAAAAAGTTCAAGGTGTTCATTATATAAACTGAGACAACAATAAAAATAAACAAAATTGTATGAAAGCAATTGAAAAAAATTTTACCAAAATATGACTGTAATATTTCTATATGTAGAAAAACATCCAGAACTGTATAAATTAATTCTAGAAATTAATATCTAGAAATTAATTGGATATTGATGTATATGCAGACATTATATATTTCATTGTATATGCATGTATATATAAATCATATGTTATTATAAAACTATAATTTTATATATGTAGAAACTATAATGAAGTATATATTGATAAAATTGAAATATATGGTTGAAAATGGAACACATAAAATTCAGATTATGGTTAGACATGAGAAGAAGAAACAAGAATTGAGAATAAGTGGATAATAAAATTTGTACGTATAATGTCTTATATTTTCAAAAGACATCTCAAGAAATGTGACTGATAACAGGTATAAAGTTTAATTAGCAATATTTTAATTTCCATGTGATTAGAATAGTTAAAATAAGTTTAGTAGGTGGCCTAGCACAAAATAGAAATTCACTCATTCATTCAACTAGTGTGAATTTAAGCACTGCTTATGTCAGTTTCTTTGATTAGTGATGATCTCTTCATGAGTGTAATCAAGGTCTATTTCTTGCTCTCAAAGACATCTCCTGTGACAGAACAATCACTTGTTAAAATGGTACAAAAGCCATGAGGGTTGCTTACACCTGTCATCCCAGCTACTCTAGAGGCTAAGGTAGGAGGGGGTGCAAGTTCAAGGCTGGCTTGGGCAATGTAGAGAGAGCTTGCCTCAAAATTAAAATAAAAAGTATAAAGAACTGAGGGTGCATATCAGTGATAAAGTGCTTGTCTACCATGTGTGCGGCTCTGGGTCCAAATGCAGCACTGCAAAAAAAGAGAACAAAATATGGTACAAATATAATTTTGGTATGCAATTCAGGCAAATAAGATACGTTTCTATCCTCGGAATATAGAATTAGTAAACAGTTAAAACTGTTTCTTAGAGAGACAGATTGAGGCAGATGAAGGAAAGATGTGTGGAGTTTAACAGGACAATGGCTAAAAGTTTTTGGTAGACAGTTGAGCAAATCTAAAGACTGTACGTTGAGGAAGAATATGAAAGTGAGATCGATCACAGAACCAAATTCATGATAGAAACATAGCTATAAAAAAGGAAATATCAATTAAAAATTGGAGGGAGACACAAGCTGTCATCACTTTCCCAGTTTCTTAGACAATTTCCTTGGTGCAGGGAATCGAACTCAGGACTTTGTGCTTGCGAGGCAGGAACAGTGTCACCATGCTAAATCCCTGGCCCTAAATTTCCTTTTCAAATTTTTAATCATACACAGGTAAAAGGGAAAAAAATAAGAGCCAAGATACATCATGTACAGGTACAAGCACCCAAAGATAAATGTAAAAGTATTGTATACCTAAAACGTGCCAATAAAAGAATTTAAGTAAAATAAATAAATAAATAAAATTTTAAAAAATTTAACCATAGATGCAATGGACTATAAGGAAACTAACTATTGAAATAATAAAATTTCTGAGGGTTTCTTAGTTACTATATAGATGTTGGATTATGAATCGGCAAGAGTATCAAAATTGTGGTGTAATACTTAAAGATTCTAGAGGAGTTTCTCTTCTTTGAACAATGATACCAGAACTTCTTCACATCTTTAAATCCACCCAGTGGAGATGCTTGTGTGTAAAGACAGGCTCCGTGGAACTGCTGCCTGCCTTTCTATCTTATGCGCAGAGACGTTAACGTCCTTTCCGTTCTAGGCAATCTCTTCAAAAATGTTTGGATAGCAAACCAGTTTGGGAAAATATAGCATTCGGTGTAGGAATAATGGGCGTATTTATTTCCTGAGGAGTTTAATGAGCATGATGCCTCTATTTGGAATACATTTTGAGCATGTGCTTGGACATTGCTGATGAAGCACCCAAGATTTCCAAACTTGAATTTCCTTAGCTGTGCTCTTCCACATCACTGTTTCACCGTGAAGTCTTAGGACACTAGTATGAATGAGAGTTTATACTGCTTCCTGTGAATCAGTTAAAAAAATCCTTTGTTTTTGAATCAGGAGCATTGTCTACTTTGAGCATTCATCCATTATACAGACTAATGTCCTAGGATGTAATGATGAT